CAGGGCGGTGGGCTCGGCCGGGGGAGCTGTGCTGTGGGGAGCAGGGCGGGGGCTCGTTCGGGGGCACTGGGCTGTGGGGAGCAGGGCGGGGGATCGGCCGGGGGAGCTGGGCTGTGGGGAGCGGGGTGGGGGCTCGTTCGGGGGAGCTGGGCTGTGGGGAGAAGGTCGGGGGCAGCAGGGGGAGCTGTGCTGTGGGGAGCAGAGTGGGGGGCTCAGCAGGGGGCACTGGGCTGTGGGAAGCGGGGCAGGGGGCTGGTTCGGGGGAGCAGGGCGGGGGCTGAGCAGGGGGCACTGGGCTGTGTGGAGCAGGGCGGGGGATCGGCCGGGGGAGCTGGGCTGTGGGGAGCAGGACGGGATGCTCGTTTGGGGGAGCTGGGCTGTGGGGAGCGGGGCAGGGGCAGCAGGGGGAGCTGGGCTGTGGGGAGCATGGCAGAGACTCGGCCGGGAGAGCTGGGCTCTGCTACGATTTTAGTGACAAGACTTAAAATCAGTCTCAATCACTCTGAAGTCGTGTTGCGACCCCGGTGTCCCAGCTGAGCTCACTTCTTGCCTCCTTAAAATTTCCCCAGTGGTTTCAAATTGTTCAGGATTCACGGCACGTTCCCCAGCTGCCCACCCTAGAGGCAGCTGCATCTCAGCGGCATGTGGCGTCCCTGTTCTACACGGATGTTCCCCAGCCAGCCACTCCAGAGCTGGCTGCATCTCAACCATGGGCGAGCCCTCCCCGTGCAGCGTCGCTGTTCCACGCGGCTGTTTCCCGGCTGTCCCACCCCAGAGGCGGCTGCATCTCAGCGCCCAGTGGCGGCTAACACTCTCCTTCCCTCCCCCTAGGCTTCTGCCGCAGCCCCCCAGTGATGGTGGCAGGGGGCCGGGTCTTCGTCCTCCCCTGCATCCAGCAGATCCAGAGGTGAGTCTCTGAAATCCCCCTCCGCAGAGAGCCCCTAGGTCAGGGCTCCCTGGCTCGTCCCTGGGCTCCCCAAGTCTGTAGGGGACCCCCCGTCACCCCGCTGGGGCAGGGGTTGCCAGGACTGAGGAGGGGTCAGAGCTCGGGCTTTGGGGCAGGGAGGGATCAGAGTGTGAGGGTGGGGATACAGGGCTGGATGGGTCCATAGGAGGAGTGGGGGGTGTCCCCTCTCCTGACCCCCCTGCTTTCCCCACAGGATCTCCTTGAACACGCTGACCCTGAACGTGAAGAGTGAGAAGGTTTATACCCGGCACGGGGTCCCCATCTCTGTCACCGGCATCGCCCAGGTAACCGGCGCCCCCTGACTCCGAGGTCGCTGCGGAAACCCCAGGGAGGAGGGAACAGCGTCGGGATCACTTAGGAAACCAGCCAGCTACCCGGTCCCCCCAGTGGTACCTGCCACTGGCACCACTCACCCCCATATTTCCCCCAGTGGTACCTGCCCAGCCTGGCTCATAACCTCCCCCCCCCCATTTTCCCTGATGGTACCTGCCCAGCCTGGCTCATCCACCCCATTTCCCCATTGGTACCTGCCCAATGATGCCCTGGGACCACAGGGCCAGAGCCCCCTTGACCACCATGGATACGGTCTCCAGGCAGCTGTTGTCGGGGTGCAGGCAATAGCCTCTTCCTCTTAAAGGGGAAGGCGCCCCATCCCTGGAGCATCCCTGGAGGTCTCAGGGAGGGGTGTCGGGGGCAGGGGGCTCCATCCCTCCCCCCTCTCATCCCCTCGCTCTGGCAGGTGAAGATCCAGGGCCAGAACAAGGAGATGCTGGCGGCTGCCTGCCAGATGTTCCTCGGCAAGTCGGAGAGCGAGATCACCCACATCGCGCTGGAGACGCTGGAGGGGCATCAGCGGGCCATCATGGCCCACATGACTGTGGAGGTGAGGGGCCAGCGGCTGGGGGGTCAGCCCCCTGCCGGGGGCTCAGACCTGCCCCCCCATGTGTCTGTCCCAACCCCGCCCCCACCCCGACTCACCCCTTGTCTCCCCGCCCCGGGCAGGAAATCTACAAGGATCGGAAGAAGTTCTCGGAGCAGGTTTTTAAAGTGGCCTCTTCAGACCTGGTCAACATGGGCATCAGCGTGGTGAGCTACACGCTCAAGGACATTCACGATGACCAGGTAAGGGAGAACGGCACCCCGTAGAGGGGAAAGGCCCGGTGTCCCATTCCCAGCCCGGAGCCAGCCAGTCCCTGCCCTGCCCCAGGGCGGATGGGAGCCGGCGCCCCCTAGAGGGGAAAGGCACTGTATCCCATTCCCAGCTCGGAGCCAGCCAGTCCCTGCCCTGCCCCAGGGCGGATGGGAGCCGGCGCCCCCTAGAGGGGAAAGGCCCCGTGTCCCATTCCCAGCCTGGAGCCAGCCAGTCCCTGCCCTGCCCCAGGGCAGATGGGAGCCGGCGCCTCCTAGAGGGGAAAGGCGCCGTATCCCATTCCCAGCCCGGAGCCAGCCGGTCCCTGCCCTGCCCCAGGGCGGATGGGAGCCGGCGCCCCCTAGAGG